CCTTGCTGCTGGTCTCCAGAACATGCTTGATTACAAGGGTGATGTTGAAAGTGACTTCATGTGTACTTTCACCATCGGCTACACAGACATGTTTGGCATGTCAGTGACCAAGGAGCTGAAGGAAAATGGAGCAGAAATCAGTGTTACCAATCAAAATAGACAGGTAAATGGAAATTGATATCGAAGCTATTTGTGTGCTTTTGTCACTTTTTATTGTTAAAAGTTGCACTTTCCCCTAGATGTACCATAATATACCGCTACTCACATATTTGTTAGCTGGCACTTCTCGTTTGTTTTCCTCCAGTCGCCTCTCCCTTTAGAACTTTAGCTAGCTCATAACTAAACTAAAAATTATTCTTTACTCAAGGAGTACAATTTTATATAATATTATGAATTAATAAATGACACGATAAATATTTGATCATAACATGAATACCATAGTGTAACATTAACTTCTTGATACTGTTTAACATTATCAGGAGTTTGTGGATTTGTATGCTGATTTTATCCTGAACAAGTCAGTTGATAGGCAGGTAAAAACAAAACTGTTCTATTGTTATTGACAATGATTTCTTCACAATTTCAAACAGTTTGTGCCCTCTGTTTCTTTTAATAGGACAGTGTTGCTGTTATGCTATTTACCGTGTATAACTTTTATTATTGGTTTTATTTTGCCCGCGCTCATTTGCATCACAGTGCACATTACGTCAATACTCTAAAAGAGAAGGGAAAATGTAAAACTGAGGTTAAACTAGAATCTCTACGTACACAGGCTGTCTTCCCATGACCTCTTCCGGGCAATCTTTCTGTCACCTTCTCTATAAAATTACGGGTGAATAAACTTGTTAATGAAAAAGCCAGCAATCAGACAGTCATATCAGCAACAAAACACTATGTTGGTTTCTACATCCTTTTGGGAAACTTTCTTTCTCTGTTTTGAGAGAGATGATTTGGTAAAACAGTGCAGAGATTATAGGTGTAAATAGTAAGAAGGTGCATCTGTGCTGTTTTAATTTTTTTTTGTTGTTTTTTTTTTTACAGTTCAAAGCGTTTCGACGTGGTTTTGATTTGGTTGTGAGTGAGTCACCTTTAAAGACATTCTTTCGTCCGGATGAGGTGGAGCTGTTAGTTTCCGGTTGCCAGGTAACAACTTTGAATGTTATCGTTACGAACATCGCTTGGCTGTTAGGCTAGAAGTTAGGTAATTTGGAGCAGCTCCCTGACAAAACCTGTCGGCTGACCGTCGGTCAACTGTTGGTCGACTAAAGGGCATTTCTATTGAATGTGTATAACCAAAACCGAAGTTATGCCAGTGGCTGGGGAAAAGGATATTATGATAAGGAGCATCTGGAAATTCCTTGTAAAATGAAGCAGGCTGAAGGCCTGAACTGCGGGGAAAAAATGAGTAACCAAATCGCAATCGGTTGTTCTATCAGCTACTGGAAATTTCGGTTCAATTGAAAAATTTACCAGTATAGAAGTTCAGTTATTATTGGTTTAAGTGTGCATTTGTTCCTTTTTTTCCCTTCAGGATTTCGACTTTGATGCACTTGAGAAGTCTACCGAGTATGACAATGGTCTTTCTGAAGGCTCAACTGTAATCAGGTACAAGCATCGATTTTTTTACCACACGAGGAAAATAATCCTGAGATAAGATTAAAGGAATATGTAAACGTTGACTGCTAACTCATCTAGTAACTTTAAAAAAGAAGTTTGCGATGTTATTTACGATGGATTGCAAATCTAACGTGCTGAAGATCTACTTGAGATATTAGAGTCGGGAACTACATGGCAATTTTTTAACAGCACAAACAGTCATGACCCGATCACGACTTGAGGGCGACAGATTCATGAACATTTTATAATTTTTCTTCGTAAAACTTACATCCTCCTCCGAGGCTGTCGTTTGTGCCTTTCATGCAGCTGTCCCGTGGAAAGGAGAGTTGCATGAAGAGTGCAGTTGACGGCTTCGAAAGAGGCGGTGGACCTTGAGTGATGCTTGTATGATCTGACCGTAGATGGTTCTGGCAAGTGGTACACGAGTTCACTTTGGAGCAGAAGAAGCAGCTGCTGATGTTCACAACAGGAAGCGATAGGATCCCCGTCGGTGGCTTCTCCAAACTGAAACTTGTTATCGCCAAGAATGGCCCCGACTCGGACAGGTATAAACTGTGACTGTAATGGGGTGCCTATGTTTGGCTTACTACCAGGAAATATTGAAATAATGATCCTTCAGGACCCAAAATGATCTTTGCTATTTTCTTTGCCCCTGCTAACGGGAATGTCTTGGAATTTCCGCATTTTTCTTTTCGAACGAAGGAGGCTGCTAAGAACGGCTAAGAAAGTGAATTAATTTTACCTTCGGTGGCCTATTGGTAAGCCTTCAGAACTGCGTACCAGAGGCAACCAAGGTTGGGCCTTGACAGCTCCACCGTTTTGTGCTCTTCGGTAACTCACCGAATTCACACAGTGCCTCTCCCTCCCCCCGGTAGTATATATGGATGCCGACAAACTGCCAGTATTATCAGAGGAAATTCCGTGAGGGGCGAGTAGCCTGTTGTTGTTGCTTTGGTTTCTCACGGTCTTTTTTTCTGTTTTCCTCGACAGACTTCCAACCGCGCACACGTGTTTTAATGTGCTCCTTCTCCCGGAATACTCAAGCAAGGAAAAGCTTAAAGAAAGGCTGCTGAAAGCCATTACTCACGCTAAGGGCTTTGGTCTTCTGTAGTTAAATCACTTAACCCTTTAACTCCCAGAAATGTCCAACATCTAACTTCTTCTTTTAATAACTGTACATTTTCCAGCAAACAGGCGATGAGAATACTCAAACTTATCAGATAGAAGTTGTTATCTTGATCTAACACCAAATTCTCATAACTAATTTACTTGGAAATGTGTGTGCAGCTAGAGGAGAGAATTAACATTCAGATCTTAAGAGTTGAAGGGTTAAACAAGGATATGGTGTTCCCCTATCAACACATAACTGGCAAAATGGGAATGTCAGCGTTTGAAATATTGGGATTAGTTGAAGACTGTTTTATGTGAAACTGGATGTTACTGCTTGACAATAATGATAGTGAAATATTAGCTTTATAATGACTGATTGCGGACTACTCTAGGTTAGCATACAATTGAATATCCTCTAAATAACACGAATGTTTCCGCTCCAATCTGCACACACGTGTAACATTTTTCGAATTGGGTGTTTGCGACGCAAACAGGGAAACGTACGCTATTAGTGTATTCCAACTGTATTGCCAGGGTATGCCGCGAGTTGCGACGCTTTACAATTCATATTTCAGGGCTGGAACCATTCACCAAACATGTGTATTGGCGAGAAATACTGAATATGGAATGGACGGCTTATCTCTTCTGACAAGGAAGAGTATCATGGCGTAATGCGTATATTAGGATTGCTTAGTGTCATTCATTTCTGCTATTCCCATAATTCTCGAAGAGTTACCTACAAGATGAATGAGATCGGACGCGAAAAACATGTATGCAAAGTTGACTGTTCTCAAAAAAATTGTTTCACCTTAGCATACTAATAAACTCTACGGTTTTTTCCAAGACTTATCGGGTCGATGATCTCTACCTATGTTTATTTCAGAAATTCTTGTTAGTGTTTGATCAAACGTGTGCATATTGAAGGAATGACTCTATCGCAAATTGTAGGACATTGTATTCATTTTTCGACTCAGCTTGATTAATTTCTGTCCAAGAACAAAAAAATATAGACTAGTCAGGTTGGACATCTGCTGAACCTTGAAACTGAGTCAAGCTCTCTTTAGGCTAGCACTAATAGTAACGCAACTTTATTAGGGTAAACCTAAGGCACAGTGTAACACGTAGGGCGTGCATGCCAGCATAAATAAGCGTCATAAGACCACCTAACTGGTATCTTCAAGGAGTCCATATGACTGACTTGAAGCAAAGGTTACTGCATTGGTGTTGCATTTGAATGCTGTAGAGAGACGTCTGTGTCGGTTTTAGTGTGATATTGCCGCATGTTCTAAAGGAACGTGGGACATTTACAGGGTCACATTTACTTGTATAGATGTTTGCTTTTAGGTTATTATAAATGTAAAAAATGCTTTCGAGTTTCCGTTTATGAGGTAATTAAAATTGTATTTTTGAAATTGAAGTGTGCAGTAATATTTTCTTAGGAAAACAGGCGTCGAAATTTGAATTTTCATTCCCGACTTGCACTAGCCTCGCAGAGTTTTGGCCTTTTTTTGGTTTGAGTGCTTTCTCTTTTTATGACGGAATTTGATGAAAAACAAACATGGAACAACAACATCCTAAAAGATCTGATGTCTTTTTTTGCAAAAGAAGATCGTTTTAGTCGAGTCGGGGTCGGGGCGACCTTTCCCTAGAGGGCGAGGTACTGGGTAAAGAAATGATGAAATAGTTCACTTCTTTTTTTTTTAACACATCAGGGCCCAGTTGTTCAAAGGCTGATTAATGCTAGCCCAGAGTTAAATTTTAATGCAGGTTTCTATATTTCTTTTTTCCAAAGCCTTTTAGAGAAAATTTTCCCTCCTCTTTAGAACATCCAATGATCAAATTGCAAATAAAAAGGTTTTAACTGAATTTTCTTTTAAAGCTTTCAGATCTGAAATCAAATTTCATGCTAACCTTGGGTTATCTTAACCCATATTTGAACAACCCGGGTCAGAACAACAAGCAAACGCGAAGCTGATCGGGAAGAGAAGTCACTTACAAATTTTCAGCTTTTTTTTCAATTTTCAGCTTTTTCTTTTCGAGCTAAGAAGCCAAATTTTAATACGGCGGATTCCTTCTGTAGCACCACCAAATCAATTCAATATTCAGAGGAGCGCTGACTCGTGTTGCCGCGGGGCACTATCACATCGTAATCTTTTTAGCGCTCTCAACTCAGTTACCTACTTCTGATGGAAAGTTAAATTCCTAAAAAACGTGAACCAAACTGTCGCTGTGAAAAATTGTACGACGAGCGCAATGTTAGATTGAAATCAAAAATGGCCGGTCGAACAAAGGATCGCGAGCTTTTAGCGTTAGCTCGCACTAAAAAGACGCCTGCACTGCAGGGTATTGACACCTGTGCATTTCAACTGGTGGTAACTGAAGACAGATTAATTCTTCATGAAGACAAAAATTTTTATTTAAATTCTAAACCTCCATGCAGTCGTTTCCTTCGTATAGAAGTTTACTACTTGTAGCTTTGTTTACGTTCCAGGAATGGCGTTCATTTGGAAACAATGACGTCGACAATTTTCTGAGTAAAAATCATTCATTGCCTTGGAAGGAAAACCTGAGTAACAGTATTAAACATGAAAACTTTGTTCAATTCGGCTCGAAAATTTCACGGCGTGTACAGACGGAATTATATGCGGAATTACAGAAAGATCCATTTCAGCAATGGAATTACCGCTCGAGGTGGAGAGAAATGGGCGACTTGAAACTTAACGGTGAATTGATGTCGAAAGCCATTCAACCTGGAAATCCTGTCCGTTTGAAGAACGTGCTCATCAAAGCGGTGAAGGGTCAGCAAATCAATGTTGCAGTCATCGGAGGCTCAAATAGTGCGGGAGGAAAATTGGGAACAGATGAAAAAAGTTTAGACGGATTGTTTTTCAAAGTTTTCGCAGATTGGTGGAACAAAACGATTGGTAAGGTCACAAAGTCGTTCATGAAAAGTTACGAGGTTACTATTGGAGGAACTGGGAGTTACTTCTTCGCCTTTTGCTACAAGACCTTTATCCCAGAAAATCAAACAATCGACCTCGCATTCATTGATGCTTCTATTAATTTCAACATGAGAGGAAAAGCTGAAGCTTTTGAACAATTGACTCGTCAAGTGCTCCTATATCCTTCGGTACCCGCGATTCTATACGTAAACCTCGTCAGCGGCCTCGGTGTAGACCCAAAAACCAAAAAAGTTGTAAACCCAAGATGCATTAACTTAGAAAATTTTGGCCAAACCGAAGTGGCGCGACACTACGGTATAACCTCTTTTAGTTTGAAGGAAGTACTGTGCCGCAAGGAAGACGATGAATGGACAGCGGTCGTCACTAATATGGCCGGCTCCGATGGCCGTCATATTGGTATCAAGGCGCATGCACTTATTTCTATGTTAATGATTGACTATATTCGCGGGGTTTTTGATCAGGTTTTGAATGACCTAAGCAATGGAAACATTACCTATCGTTTTGCGCCCTTACCAGAATTGTTATCACTAAAACGAGACACTGAAGTTCTGAAACAACCGCTTTGCTGGACCAGGATGACACCAAATATTTTCAAAGATCTTCATCGCCCCAATATCCAAATTCAAATCACACAGAACGATGGATTTGCACCATACGGTAGTTTCCGTGATGAAAGAAGCTCAGACGGAAATACAAATACAGACATGCGAACAGATGCACAGGGGGGGTGGGGAACGTGGCGGCGTTACAGTAGTATAAAGTTTCGTTTTTATGTTCCCTCTGTTAGCTCCTCTTACAACACCAGGTCTGTAATAATTTTGACACGAACGTCTGGCAATGGCGGAAAGGCCGAGGTAAGGCTGGATGAGGAGAAGAACAAAACGATTTATATTAACACAAAGTCGATCTATGGACAAACTCGGTTGGATACTGTTGCTACAAGGGTAAAGCCAGGATACCACACTATCACATTCAGAACAGTTTGCAAGGGAAATTTCCTGGTGAGTGGAGTTGTAGTCGGACCGCCAGACTTTGAAAGACGAAAAGTTATATAAACAGCCTTTGACCATGTATAACATCTATCTGCTTCGTTCGGTTACGGTCTGGTAAACAGTCATTATTTATGCAAAGTGACGTAAGTTACTGAAACCTCATCTACAAGGCTCGTTTGCATGACATGTTTCTCCAAGTTTTGCTACCTTTCTGCTTTTTTTGCATATGGTACCTTTAAAGTAATGCTCCATGGTAAAATTGGCCCTTCTGACGTGAATACATCAATCATACCTATGTTGATTAAGAACTACGTAAATGCTAAAAAGTTTGATGGCCGGAAATCCGAGATGTTAAATGTAGCATCACATTCAATTCTTGTCTAGTTTGAAGGGTCAGTTACTTAAGTAATTTGACCAGGACGAAGATAAAAGATTTAACGAAAGAATTAGTTGAGCGAACATAACAGAGAACATAAAAATTGGTATGTTACGTTCTTATCACCTGTTAATGATTAGTCTGATTCCAGGAGTAAACGAGGTCTGGGAGTAACCGGATGATGCATGTTTTACACGAAGTGGGGTCAAAGATCCTCTCTTGATAAGATAGAGGGTTTAGGGAAAACAACACTGAGAAAACTGCCCACATACAATTCACAAAGTAATGATAAATTGCTGGTCACGAGTGCTTTATGTATCATCACATCTAAAGGTATCAAGATAGCCTATGCACGAATGGGAGCTCTCACCAGATCCTCTCTGAAATGATTTGAGTATCGCCTAACGCTCTCCTGCCTATCTCCTGTCATTAGGTTCTACTGATAAGGAATTTAAATGATAAAAATATGCAAATTTATTTATAGTTATAATGGTCTAGTGACGTTTTTATCTTTTTTATATTTCAATATCTAACGGCTTTCGGTCAAAAGAATTGATGGTCCTTCATTAAAGTAATCTAGTGTCCTTGTGGGTTTACACCTCGTCTTAATTTCCGAATTCATC